TTTTTTTTTTTTTGTGTTCATATTTATTTAAGAAGGCCTTGTCAAGCGAAAAATTTGTTTTCACAGCTAATAGCAGTACGTTTCCTTCAATTTTTTTTTATCGTTTTCTGTTGTAAAATTTAAGTTTTTTTCTTCTTTAGCAACGAGTATGACTTTTTTTTTTTTTACAGACTATTGCGAGTTGTTTTGGACTGAAGTGGATGCTAGCGCTTTTGTTTATTGAATTGATATTGCTTATTTTTTCTACTTGTCGAGTAAGCGATGTAACTTTAAATTATTCTAGACTAAATATTCACTATTTATCAAAGAACCAAAATAATTTTTAATTATAAATTTTACTCTTAGTGAACCTTTGATAAATTACTTGTTTTTACATTGTTCCAAAACTTCAGAATTTTTTTTTGTGAAGCAGATGAATGCATATTGGTTTTGTCGTTTTTTTTTTAGTCTTATGATCAGTGTTTCTGCCTACATTTTTTTAATGAAGAAGTTTCCAATTACTATATCAAAATGATTCACTTTGACTAAATTTAGGTTGCTCATTGACATCCTTTTTAGTTATGATCAGTTGTGAAAATTTTCCACGTTTACTGTTAATTTGAATGTTTTGTTGCACACTATCATTTCGGTGAAAGTAGTTCGAATTTTAATTTTAAAGCGAATCAAATAGGCAATTTACTAGTTCATATTTAATTCCTGCGAAGAGCTTGTGACGTGCGAGAACACAGTTAGTACGGGGCTCTGTTTATTTGTTTCTTTTTCAGGGTCAATTGCTTACAGGATGTCAGGGATAGCTACAGGAAGGTTAACGGAAGAACGAAAAGCTTGGCGAAAAGACCATCCATTTGGATTTATCGCAAAACCAGTTCAAAACCCCGATGGTACGAGAAATTTGTTTGTTTGGGAGTGTGCTATACCCGGTAAGAAAGGAACAATTTGGGAAGGTGGACTGTACAAGGTTTACTGTTTAGTTTTTCCAGTTAAATTTTTGTCTTTGCTGTTTCGTAGATTTTCGGATTATATTGTACTTCCAAAGCAAAAAAATTTTTAAATGTTAGTTCCAGTGATTTTTGCAAATTTTTTTATTGTGACTGTAACATCTATTTCATTTCACTTGGCCTTTTCTAGAGCCAAACACTGAGACGAATGCTCATCAAAGGTTGTTTACCTCGTTTAATTTTATTTTTTTTTTCAGTTACGTATGCAGTTTAAAGACGACTTTCCGTCCACGCCTCCAAAATGCAAATTTGAGCCTCCTCTCTTTCATCCGAATGTATACCCCTCTGGCACTGTCTGCCTGTCATTACTGGATGAAAATAAGGTTCGAAATTTGTTTCTGATGAACACGTTAATAAGTGCTGAAGAAGCATATATTAACTTTAAGCTGCTTTTTCTTTGTTGTTTGGCCCCTACAGGATAAGAATTTTTTGGGACAGGAGTTCAAATAATTTTTTTAGGAAGAAAGTGTTTTGCTAGATTTTTTGTCGTGATAGTTCGTCTTTTTCCACTTAATTTTATTGTACTGCGCTGATTCTTTGTAAGATAAGTTGGTTATTTTCTTTTAGAGTAAAGGGAGCGTTTCAAGCACTAGCAATAAGGTTTCGTGGTTGAAGGCTCAGTTTTGACTAAGGGGTTACTTTATGTCAATTTTTCAGGACTCTTCCTTGCCATAATCTTTGGCGTTACCGTTGGGGATAATGACAGGGTCTCTTTGTTTGTTTTCTACTAGAGAGTAGGTGGGTCTATACAGTGTTACTATGCTTCGTGGTTAGTCACTGCTCATTAGTGTGCCCACTTTGGCTGTGGTCAACAGTTGCCAATAATTTTTCTGATTTTTAAGTATTTTTGAACATCTGCGGGATTTGTATACATATTAATAGCGACAATAATTAATGTTAATCTACGTCACAGTTTTGTTTCTCAAGTTACGTTCACTTTATAGCGGTGGTAGTAGTGAAAATTTTTTAAGGGATAGTTTTTGCCGTAGCTTCAGTATTTGAGGTCATTTTTGCAATGTTTCAAAAGTTTCTTCGCTATTGTTACTGAGTCTAAGCCAAGCACGAACTTCAAGTTTCCGGTCTAGTATTTGTTGCTAAGTCATTGGTAATATACTGAAGTTCTCTTTTTATTAAGTGCGAGCTGAAATTGTTAGGGTTTGTGAAAAAAAACCTGTTGGTTTTAAGGAAGAAAGCTTTAACTGCAGTGATCATGCTGCGGAAGTTCCGATTACACTAAAACGTTTTGGTAACAAATGTGTTGCTGGCTCCATGAGAGCGTCTTAGTTCATTTTTAACAATAAAGTGAAAGCAGTTTTGTTTGGAGAAGTTATTGAAGATATACATGTTCGTTTTATTGAATTTTTTTGGGGGGCAAGCGTATAGACTTTTTGAAGCGAAGTGAGAGTTACGAATAAATGTAGAAATTGTTGTATAAAGCAGATCATCTTACATTATCTTTTTCGACACTTATTTATGTCTTTTAGGGTCTCTATTTTCTTGCGGTATCAATCGGGTGTGAGAGTTGGAATTAGTGATAGAAAGTTTGATATTGAGGTGGTAGTTGAATTGTTAGAGCGGCTCTCGACAATTTACCACTGACTGTATAAGAGCGTAGTTGTTTGCCTTTGACAAATTCGAGGTCATCTTTTAGAAAACTTTCTTGAAGAAGGGACTTGGAATTTTAGCATATACTGGAAGTCGGTAACAAACATTTCCTGACTGTGGTCAGTTTAGAGAGAAGGGAAATTGGTTGTTTCGTCGGTTAAAAGTGTTCAAGCGCTTTTATTAAACAGTTGTAACTCACAAAAGAAAAAAATTTTTTGACTTTTGTTAGAGATGTGGATTGTGCGCAGCAGTTATAAATGAGATTTTCAAAGAATGGTTGCTGATAACACTTGAGTAAGCCGTCGTTTTGAAAGAGGACGTTTTTGGTTACTTCTTTGGTAAACAAGTAGTGCTTTTTTTCTTGCTGATACATAGAGACAATTGGTATTCACTTTATTTTGAGAAACCCGACGTTATACAGTTAAAGTTCAAAAGACTTTTATTTGCAGTTACATTAGGGACCTTTTTACTTTAAACCAATGAAAGCAAGGTTCTTAGTTACTCCGAATGAAGATTCTGCTGAACTTGCCTTTTCTTCTAATTATTCTTATTGGACTGTACTTTATTTGCTGCTTTATTTGTCTGGATTGTTTAGTGGGTGATCGCTCTTAAGAATAATGCTGGTCAGAATCTTTTTTAACCATTTTTTTTAAAGCTTTAACTCGAATTTTAAAAAGGGTTCAAATAGGTTTGGTAATAAGTATTATAGAACAAAAAGGTTTGCAGTAGTCGTTTTGGAAAAGTGTAGCGATTGTTAGAGAAGTTGGAGAGGTTGGGTGTTATGATTTCACTCGATAAAGCAGTTTTATTGCCGAAAACTTTCTCTTTAGACTTGATAGTGGTAATTGAGAAGATTTTATCCTTTTTCATGAGCTACTTCACAATCGCTTCAAGGTGTTCCAGACACTTATGCTTTTTTTATTATAAGAAACTATTTGCGGGTATTCGAAACACCTTTTTTTATTTAGTGTCTCACAGTTTGGGCAAGGGAAGATAGTTGCGTTGGAATTTTTGTTTAATACAATGCATTTTTTGAGGTTTTGTAATCGGAAAAAGTTTTATAATGTGCAAACTGCTCTTTTAAAGGACTGGAAGCCGTCTATAACGATTAAACAGCTACTGATTGGAATTCAAGATCTCCTTAACAGTCCTAACATTGAAGATCCTGCTCAGGCTGATGCCTATCAGATATACTGTCAAAACAGGTCTGAATTATACTTCTTGGAGCTTTTTTATTTCCAAAAACAGCACCGTTCAACGTCTTTTACTGCTATATTAAATATCTTTTTAGCACCGAAAATACCTCTCCTCCAAGATCTCCTGGGCTTTTGTTACTGGAGTGGCTTTCTATCATGCTCAAAAATTTTGCACTTAAAAGTATTTTTCGAAGAGCGGTTTGAAAATGTGCAATTTTTCACTTTTCATGCTTTGCAGGGTTGAATATGAAAAGAGGGTTAGGCGCCAGGCACAACAGTTTGCTGCAGAAATTGTCCAAAAACAAATGATTGATCATTAATCTACAGCTTGTTGTGATTCCCTATGATGTCTTTCCAAGTTTGGTATTTTCGCCTTTTGTTAATTTTCTGAATTTTATTAAAGTGTTGATCTAGAGAATCTTGAAACTTCAAAATTTGGAATGATGTCTGACAATGTAACCATTGCGGCTTGAATTTGGATCTCTTTTTATGCTTTTGCTTTTCAAGCTCTCTGTCCTTTACCGGTTGTAACCAACAGGAATGTCTGTTCTTGTTTTTGTTTTTTTATTGCAGGTAAGATGTTGTCCTGTGTTTTAAGACTTGAATTTTTAATGTTTTTTTTTATTTTAAAGTAGAGTTGGGCGATTTCCATAAATACTGTGTTCTTCGCCTGTCTCAGTCTGTGTTGGTTTGTTAAATTGACTTCTTCCAAAGCTGAAACATTATTTTTTCAATTACCCCTGGAAAATTTTTCAAAGCAGCGTATTTTTTTTGCTTGATGGCAAAACGGTTTGCATGCTTTTAATGTTGAGGTGAATTTACTCCATTATGTTCTTTTAAAAAGTGTTATCCACAAATATACGTTGTTGTTGTAGGTGCTGCAACAATTGTTATCGTTTATTTACACCCGGAAACGTAAGAAAAATAAAGTGAAATGAGATAAAAATGGAAAAATTTGTTTACAAGAGCAGTGATAACAGTACTTGCAAAGCGGTTGGCAAAGATGCTCTACTGCAAGCTGAATAAGCTAAGCGGGAAAAAATAGTGATAAAGTTTCTGCTATATTTAATTGGCAGGTCTGTAAAATGCTCCTTGAAAAGAAAGTTCTGGAGAGGAGTTTTGGGTTCAATAACAATCAAATTCTTAAACTGGCGGCAGTATTCTGGAAACTAGTAATTATAACAAATTTTGAGCACATTTGAGGCAACTCTGTACATCTCAAGTAGTCTGGATAATTTAAATAAAGTAAGAGGACTAGTTTTATACTAGTTTTTTTCTGTAATCAATTGTAACTAAAGATCGGCTATTTGATAGTGGGGGCGCAATTATTTGGATAGTTTTGAACCGGTGATGATCAAGTGGCCTTTGGAATTCAAATTTGATTTGATGCTTTTCTTATCAACTTCTTCCGGGATCTTATAAGTACGGTTCACTTCACGTTTAACTTCTCCAAACTCTGCAGAGTGTGATTCGTGCAAACAACGAACCACCAGTTGGTCTCCAATGACTTTTACCTGTAAAATTTAGTATTGCTGTTAAGGATCCAAAAGAAAATGTTTTGTGGTACAGTCAGCATCGGAAGCTGAACAATTTTTGCGCAATATTTCTATATTAATTAAAGCTGGGCCAATCTATTAATATATAATTTTTGATCTCTACGTATGCTAACAGTATTGGATGCGAACATTTAAATGTAGGACCGACCTCAATTTCTTTGGGGCTAAAGAATGCGGCTTCTAAAACGACTTCAAATTTGTCAGCTGTGTTGATGATTTCGACGATGCCATCATTACGGTTCAGTGGCCAATCCCACTGATCAGCATTCTTAAGGCTTCCAGACAGTTCAACGTCAATGTTTTTGGCCATATTGCTACGATTTGAAACTGGAAAAAAAAAAGGAACTACGAAATTATATTATAACATGTTGGCAATGGACAACTGTTTGACTCTCAAATAAATGTTTCGTTGGGTAACATTAAAGGTTTTACGAGTTTTGTTGCCTAAACTCACCTACGTTAAATGGGAAGCAATTTTTTTTCAAGAATCTTTTTGGAAGGCTAGAAAATAAT